CGCACATTTAGTTGCCTCATTCCTGCCAGGCTAATCCTACCACCAGTATCTAACAGCGTAAAGCCCTGCCGGGATGTCTGTCTCTAGCCTTGGCAGGAGTAACTAGTTTACCTGAAGAGTAGTATGAAAAGTTGCAGAAGACTATCTTATTTTCTTATTTATCTTAGTTTTCTTTGTAACAGGCCAAAATTAATCAGGCCCTCATTTGCCTTTCTCTAAACAGTAATCTACAAAGTCAGTCATCGTCACAGCTATTAATTTGTCAGATAAGATTGATGTCTCAGCTGGTTAATAAGATTTCTTTTCCTCCTGTTTATTCACGCTTCCCCAAATGAATCCTCACTGGTGTATTCTGCCTCGGGTTTACTTAGCTGATTATTAATTTTATGGTTCTGCTTGCAATTTGTTTGAAAGATACTGTACAGCAGCACATTTCTTTTCACAGTACTTATGTATATCACTTCACATTGCTCATTACGCCATTTCTCGTGGCTGAATGCTTTAATAAACAGCCGTGACTACATATGTGGTATTTGGCAATATGCTTGGGGTCGACTGTCATTGCAGATATTTTGCATGCAAGTTTCTCAGGGGAAGTCTACTGTTTTTGTGTTCACAAGCCTATGCCAGTGTGAAGAGTCCTCTTAGGTGTAAATTTTAAAAACTTGTTGTCCATGAGCAGCTCTGCTCATTCCGAGTCATTCCTGTTTTCCATGTTTGTCACAAATTATTTTCTTGCATGAATATCTTTCAGTGTGATGGGCTGAACCTCTCTGAATCCTGCAAAGAGTTGAGTCCTTAAGCACCCTACTCACCAAAGGTGTCGTGTTCCAGCCAATTTCTTGGCTTTCAGTTTGTGGCTCTGAATATTTCTTTGTTGGCTCCAGTGCTGCATGGTGAATAAGATTCAGAAACTTCGCTGTTGGTGTAAGAGACACAAATACAAATGAAAGAAAGTATCTTTATAAACCAGTCACCCGTGGATGTGTGTTAGAATGGGACATCCTAACGCTGTCCAAGCAATAGCAAGAAAGTGAAGGCTGGAGGCAACGTTGGTGCTTCTGTCAATGATCTTGTACGAGAATGCAGGGTGACATTTCTACTCAGATTTATCCTGATGAAGTTTCAAGATTTGCCTGCCTATACTCTATTCTGTCATCCCTGTCTACTGTATTGCAGCAGCCTGCTTTTCTTATACCACATCTAGTATCAACCAGCGCTCTACGTTAGCTGTTGTCTTTCTCAGTTGCCTGAGGCTTGCTGCCTTTCCCTGTTGTGGTTTTCTTTTTCCCCCCTAATCCTTGACTAGAGCAGGCCCACCTTAACTGACCATTAAGGTTTTTGGACAAAATTGGCATGTTAGAAATAAGGGTTGGCATGTTGCTATAAGGGTTCCTGTTATTAGTGCTTTAAAGCAAGACTCAGCAGCCATTTCAGCGGTTTACTGTATGCAACGGTTACGTAGAATTTGCAATGACAGGCAACGTTTATGTATAAAATATGTTTCTAGTTTTTTGTCTTCCCCTGAAAGAGGTTTAGATTCTCAAGGAGAATTTTATAGTATGATAACTAAAACCAAAAATAAAAGCGTAATTGCATGAGTGCAAGCTTGTACTGACAATGAAAAGTAATGGGAAAGGGCCTTAACGTGGAAAAAACCCCTGCCCTTACGTTTAACAAAAGTCATGAATGAGTTTAACTTTCTTCTGTTGTCACAGGGGTGTTTCCACATATGTCATCTTTTAGACTAACTGGTATTTTTTAATCGTATTTATTAGTTATTTTCTTATGTAATTATCACAAGCTGTTCAGAGATTTCTTACCATCTGCCGGCTCTTCTATATTATCATGCCAAGACATAGGCTTCCTGGTGATTGTGTGAACTGGAAAGAAATGATGCAGGTGAATTACTTTAATGGGAATTTAGCATCACAGCCAGGTATAGGATATCTATCATTGCAAATGGTCCTTTTGGTTATTCCCCAGTCTGGGCCCAGCTACTTCACTGAAGTTGTAAAGGAAGAACAGCACGTGAACAGAACAAAACGAGTTAGAGTACTAATAGCAACTTCCTAGAAAGGGAAGGGGGTTAAGTATGCTAAAGGCTCTTCTACTGGATGCTGCCTGCATTCACCACAGCAAAGTTGCACCTGACCCACGTGGTGGCCTACAGGGTGCCAGGTTTCGAACGATTTTCCTTTGGTTCATTTTTGTTTCGGTGTGAAACCTACACCTGAGTGAATCTGTTCACATCACCCATCCATGCCAGCATAGGTGATGACATTCTATGACTGCGAATTGGCAGGAAGAAATTAGCCCAGGGGCTGGAGAAACATGATGTAGTGTTGGGGCTCTCTACCCCATCTCAGCTCTGTGGTTTTTGCTCAGGATCCTTAGGTTCCAGATAGTAAATGACTGCTGCCTCACTTCTGCACGTTTACTAAGGCACCGTCTAATTTGGGCAGATTGGCTTTTGAGTGTGCAGACTGGTTTCCCGGGCCCACCAGTTGCTCCTTCCAGATCTACCCCTCTGACTGGCCGCTGCTGGCGTTCCTGGGTGCAGCGGCTGAGCGCTGCGGGGTCTGCCCCTGCCTCGCGCAGGCAGGCCCGGGAGCCCTCCCTCCGCCCTGCCGCCCGGTGCGATGCTTGTCTTGCCCTCGGCGCTTCCGCGCCGGTTCTCTGTGAGCGCTCACCGGGGTGGCGCGGGTTCAGGCTGTACTGCGTGTGCAGCCTCTGGCACTGCAGCTCCTTCCGCACCCGCTCGCACAGGAGCTGGTTCTGCCGCACCGGGTCCGGCGCCTCCTTCTCCCCGCTGCGGGCGGCCATGGCCTCGCCGAGCTACGCCGCGTCCCGTAGCCTGGCAACGCCTCACGTGGTCCCCCGCGAGGCTGTTGATTGGCCCGGATGACGCTCCGCCCCCCTCCTCGCACCGATTCCCTTCCCGCCTCCTATTGGCCGCCGAGTTAAAGCCCCTGGCGCTGATTGGCGGCGGCTGCACGCGGCGGGTTTGAACGCCCGGTGTGGCGGCGGC